AAAGATGAACAAATGGCTGAGAAAAAACAAGAGTTAGAAAAAGAGACTTCAGAGTTAGAAAAGAGACTTCAGGATGTAACTGGTCAACTTGGAACTGCCAAGAAACAAAACAAAAAGGAAAAGGTGCTTATATTACATTTTTATTTTCAAATTACATCGATACGTATTTGCTATAATGATCATATGTTGAGTCGCGGTAATAATATATCGATCATATACTAATCCAAGGGAATAATTTTTCATTCTAAAATCTGTTCTATTTTTATTATACAATTTTTTTTAGATATGAATTTATTCATGATTAAATGCAAATTTTCTTGACATTTTGTAGTGGTGCATTTTTAATTTTGCATCAACCTCTTTTCTCATTAACTGCTAATACATACAATATTTTTAACCCAACAGACGAAACCGGTAAAGCTGATGCCGTCCCCTCGGCTGCTGGACGACTGTCTTCAAGCAGTTCTTCATCGGACAGTTCAATGTCGTCCAGTTCATCAGATTCGAGTTCTTCAGACTCTTCCGATAGCGAAGCAGGTTAGCCACAACAACAATAATGCAAAACGCGATTCGTTCGAAACAAGGTCTTTAAAAAAAGTTATTTGTATGGCTACTACTACACTTTGTAGTAAAGAGCAAACGTATCACAAACTTTCTGATTGTTTGTGTATATATTTATGTGTATGTGTATATTTGGAAATATATACATGTTAATGAGTGTATAAATGTGTGATCTGTTCACCACTTCTTATTGACTGTTAATTGATATTTTATAATGTAAATAATATTTAAGCTTTTAGAACTTTCTTATTTGTTAGATTTAATTAGACAAAACTACTGTTTTGTGAACAATGAATAATTCATGTATACATACACATAAAGATGTGTGACTAATTTCGATTTTGTATATTCTCACAATGCATTGCAAAACCGTGATATGCTCATGCATGTGTCATCAACACATGGATTTTCTAAAGGGGATAGAAATAAATAACTGCAAACTTTTTCATACAGATCAAACAAGTGAAATGAAATATTATCTTTCATTTCTTTCGTTTTTTTTTCAAGTATTTTAATAGTATGATTTATTGCGTTTTTGTATACTTTATTTATTTAAATATGTACACTGTGACTGCAATATTAGATTTCTTGATCGTTCATTTTATATTGTCAGTTTTGTAAGTGCTTCTAGAATCTGCTATAAGTGCATCATTAATGATTGTTTATAAAATTGACGAAAGTATCACTTCATACATACACCTTTGCAGTTATTTACGTATATTATAATCGGAATGTTTTTTTTCTCAATCGAAATATATTCTTCATTGTTCTACACGCTAATTGTTCTTCATTGATATTTTAAATAATGAGTCATTGCCGAAATAGCATTATATCATAATGCAACGTATGAACCGAAATAAATAGCTTTGGCTTTTAGTAGTCATATTACATATAATTTTGTTAACGGTCGCGTAGTAAGTCGTTTTTGCGGAAATGTTCTTTGTTTTAAATATTTTAGTTCGAAAGTGAATTGATGATGACAATGAATTTTAAACATTACTTTACGAAAAGTAACATTAAACAGTCATTTGAGATATAGTATCAGTAATTATTTGGGAACAATTATTAATTTAGATTCATGTGGTTGTGTTAATATTACACAAATACATATCTTTTAATATTTTAATTTCAATCAAACGGCTTCAAATATTTAATTCATTTAAATTTTGAGGATTAGTATTCTGTTCATAGCCTTTCCTGTAACCTACTAAAATGGTTGTATTGAATTTTTTTATAGTTTGACAAGAATGTCTGGCTTGAAAGCTAATATCTAATTCTTAATGACTGATAATATTCTGTTATTATCGTTTAAGAACATCATAATAATAATGATTTGACTAAAGTGCAATTATTGAAAGCACTTAAAAATATCTGATAGATAGATTTATATATATACATATAAAAATAAACATAAATTATTAAATGATAGGTATAAATTTATAAAGATGTGTGTTTGTGAAGTCGTTTATCTTAACTATTATATACCATGTGTTTAATTTAGTATTTGTAACTTTGTACAGATTTATTACCGATGAGAATTTTAAATTAAGATAAGCATATATTAAATATATATATTAAAATATAAATTAATAATATAATACATGAATATTTTCACGTGATAAGTTTTTATTGAGGTATAACTTGACATGTTACTTTTTTGTTTTTTGACTTTAAATTGTGTATGCATATATTATTAAATTTGATATATAGATGTGCACATTTAATTAAAATTAAAAGCTGTTATTTAAAAATGTAATAGTTTTAGAGTTTTGCGTTTTAATACGTCTAATTTATGCAATATCACGGCTTTTTTCATAACTCTTAATATATTTGTAGAAGTTAGTAATAAAGAAATGCCCGGTAAATGTTTCAATTAAAGGGCTTGCAATTGACCCGTTTCTTAAATTAAAATACGTACTTTTCGAATATTTTAAACGTGGTTGGAGCACTTTAAAACTTAAGTCGGTCGTGTTCGTGCATCGGCATACGCGATTACTAGGCTAACAACAATTTATTATTCACCGAGAGTTTCTTGATAAAATAAAATCATAATTTATATAATATTATATAAATCCTCAAGAATTTGCATTATTTCCGTGACTTTTATCAGATGGTTATATTGTATTTGTGCCCAATTTGATATTTAAAAAATATTTCATATGGCATACATTTATATTTTGATTTAAAATAATTTAGTATTAATAAAATATTTTTTCTCAAAAGACAAAAAATTAGATATTCCATTTTTGATATTACTTCATAAGAATTAAAAAATTAGAAAATGTAATAATTCATAAATATAATCAAATTATTCAAATCAGCCTCAAAGGTTGTGGTGGCGTGTTTTATCATAATGATAATTTCGTAGGCGTAAAGATAAATCGACCATATTTAATTTATGCTCATACAATCGTCTCTTCGTGAGCTTTAAAGTTGAGGCTGATTTCAAGTCATTTATCAATTTAGTGAAACTTTAGAAAACAAATTATTGGATTTTTTGCTTGTTACAAATATAAGAATTTATTGGATAATACGTAATATGTATATCAAATCACTGCCGAATTGTACATAAACGATTTAAAAGTAATAATTTTCCTATCTGTTGCCTGCACTATTGCAATCGATATTATATGTGCGTATGATTTGAGATTTTATATTAAATTTTATTTATCAGCAATATTATTTATTTTAGTTATTTGATATCTTTTAAGAACATACATTTTAACAATAAATATTTAATAAAGAAAGAATGTTTGATGTGCCATCTTAATATCATTCAAAAAAAATTAAATATCCCCAATAAGAAACGTATCGCAAAAATATTTATGTTTAAAGACTGTTATTTATAATCCAAGAAATACTATTATTTATTGATCAAAAGTTTTCATTTACGTCAGTAATGGAATACAAATACAAATATTTTCAAGCCTGATTTCTTGTCCACTTCTACATTATATTTTCGGTTGTTTTTATTTTAATTGTAAATTGACTAAAATAAAAATAAGTTTTAATCCAAATAAAGTTTCTAATACATTGTTCATACCATAGATAAAGACAAATTACTTTTGACTTACTTTTTAGTTTTACCGAAAATATTTATATTAATTAAATATATTCATGTTAAATGTACAGAAAAAATGTTTATATTGTATGAGGGATCATAGCGTATTTTTTTCTCATTTCTAAATGCTTTTCTTTAAACATACATATGTCATACTATGATTATAAGAATTGTCACTTATAATAATTGTAAAAGTAACTTATCATATACTATCAACGCAAAATTTCACATTACTTTGAGTAAATTTAGTATTTAAGCAGTTTTAGGAAATACATTTTTTTGAATATATGTATATATATATATATATATTATATATATGTATATATATATATTATATATATGTATATATATATATATATTATATATATGTATATATATATATATATATATATATATATATAATGATATATTCATTATATTTTCAAGATCTAATCTTGAAGGCCAACGATCATTATATAACTATTTTGATCAAAGTTTAAAAATTGGGTATGCTTTCTTCTAAGTCGATGTTTTGTAAAAATTATTATAAAAGAGTATAATCTTCTTATATAAATATGGGTAAAAAAAATAATTTATGAGAATCATACCAATTTTTAAACTTTCGGTAGATGATCTCTTCACAGTGCAACAAACACATGGTGGTGTTAAGTGCAATAATATGTTAAAGGAGGGGCAGCCAATATCCTTGACAATTACAAAACAAATCATAGCAAAATTGGTGAAGAACTTAACCAATTTATCTAACATTATTTTCGTGACAAATATACCAGATCAAAGTTTTTTTGGGTCTAGCATGTTGATATTTAAATACATGTATCTTATTTCGTATAATTTCGATGTTTTGACATAATTTTGAAGTAATTTTAGTGTTTTCGAAAATATCTTATTTATTAACAAAAAAGGGGCTGAAATCGGTTTCGATTTTCTATTATGCAGACAATGTGTAATATATTTTTATGGTGTACCACCATTTTGCGCAAGCCATATTTTTGTAATGGGATAATGTATTTTTATTAAGTTAGTCTATAGATCACCGGTGATAAAAATGTGTTTGAAGTTGTTATGGTCAAAATCTATGCTGTCTGTCCCTTCTTTACACATTGTTTGCACTAATCGACATCTTGTGAAAAAAATTCAATTAACAACATGAATATTGTGCTATATAAGTGATTTATGAAATATAATACATTCTTTGAATGTCATTGCCTTATTATTTTCTTCTTATTTTTTTTACATATCTTGTACTTCTATGATTCTTATTTATGTAGTTTCTTAAAAGTATTGATTTGATCTTTGTATTAAACTTTAATAAAATATAAATAATCTGGGATTGCTATACTGTTACATCCGAATCAATCAGCTCCTTTCTAGTTATCGTATTAAAATAATTTTGAATGTACCAATGCAATTTATTTGTTATTGTTTTCTAACATTGAATTATATACAATACTAGCTTTAGATAAAATAGTGAATTTTATTAACTTTGATCTGGTATATAAAGTCAGCTAAACGAGTGCTCAAATTATATTGGCTCCTGCTCCTTAGCATTTATTGTGAGTATCACATATTATATAACAGATGAATCATTTGGAGTAATTAACTACATTTCTGATTGTCTTGTTTCACAGGTGGCACCAAATCTAGGAAAAAAACCAAAAAGACTGATACATCGCCTGTTACAAATCCTGCTGTACCGGTAAGTTAAAATATCATTAAAATTTTTTTTGTTTTATATATATATATATTGATATTTTTTTCAGATTGGGATAAAGATATTGATAAAACTATAATCTTTTTAAACAGACTTCCATCCAGATGTCGAAAAGTTTGGATGTTCATAGTTTTATCAATATATATTTATATATATAAATATATATATATATATATATATATATATATAAAATTTGATAATTTTGTCTTTATATGTTCATGTTTCTATAATATATTTTTTAAAATGATAGAAATGCATTTTTATATATATATAAAATTATATATATATATATATATATATATATATATATATATTATTATTTTTTTTTTTAAGAAATCGACTGTGACTACTGCTTCAATTAGTGTGCAGAATGCAATAAGTAAACCAGTAGTGGCTCCTGCAATTACATCGACTCCTTTATGTAATGTGACAACCACTGACAATACTGTTACTTCAATAACTAAACCAGTTCAAAATACTGGTATAACGACAAATATGCCAATTGCAAACTCTAATAATAATGGACCAATTTTGCCAGATGAATTGATATCAACCCCCGAAGTTATTAAACCTGTAATGGCTAATCCAGCTATGACTCAACCTATCATGCCTATTACATCGCAACAGAGTTTGAACACCATAACCCAGAATGAATTAGTCAAAACTACATCTGCTATTCAACAACCATCTATTCAAAGCAGAATGAATGTAATGAACAATACAATGCCTAATATGAATTCGCAAATGAATGATATGATGCATAACAATAATTTATTGAATAGTTCTGTTGGTATGCAACAAAATCGGAGTTTAGGCAGTATGGCAATGCCTCAACTTAAACCACCTTCTCCTCAATCCCAGTTCATGATTGATCCCTTAGAGCATTCTTTGGCCAGTCTTGAACAAAGTTTAGGCAAAAGAGATATGGTGCAGCCTAATTTTTCACATATGATCCCTGGGAACATGCATAATGTCATGGCTGATATGGCAGGTCATAACTCGGTTATGCACAGTTTAGATATGGAAATTACCCAGAATATACCAGCAATCAAACAGGATTCTTATATGATTGGTTCTAGTAACAATGGATTTGGAATGATGAAAACAGATATGGATATGCAAATGAGTAATGGAATGAATATGATGAATGTCAACAATATGAATAATATTAACATGCATAACTCTATGCCACCAACATCCTTGTTCGATCAATTACCAATGACAACCCAACAACAGCATATGATGGCAAGACAGCAACATTTGCCAATTTCTAATCATAACATTATGAAAAAAGAAGAAAAGGTCATTTTGACACCAAAACCAATTGAGGATTTAATGGGAGTTCCTAATAATATAAATTCCATGAGTCATGAGAAAAAGCAAACACCACCAGAACAGAAAAACTCTGTAACAAATTTTGTACAAGCATTCAAACCAAAGCAAGAACAAAATGTTAAAAATGCTAGTTCATGGTCTTCCATAGGATTGAGTCAATCACAATCTAATTCGCCTCAAAATTCACAAGGATCAAAACCTAAGACACATTCAGATACATTTTTGGTACGTATTATTATAGTCATATTTATATTTTTATTAATAGTGTCAATAATGTTTAATATTTAACAGGCATTTAAAAACAAAGCGAAAGATAGACAAAAGGCTTTGCAGCAGCAACAAAGAGCAATGGAAAAATTAAGAGAGAAAGAAGCATCTGAAACACCAGATAAGTCAAAGTGAGTTATAGATTATTTGAGAAAATTATATATTTGCAGGATAAATGTAGAATATTTTTTAAATTTTGTTTGTTACCATGATTTTGTTTTCTGCCTCATATGATGCAGTCATGAAAATTAATTTATCATTTGAATTTTTTTCATTTCTATATTAATAATATTGTTATTGCAGCCCCATTATGCTCAGGAAAGCAGGACCCCCTATTGGGGCTGGACCTACACCTATAACTCCTGCCCCACCAGGCCGAGTTGATGACCTAGTGCATTCACCTGCAAGTGGTGTAAAGGGTTCCCCAAATAATCAACTGCCCAATATTATTTCTAACACTAGCCAGTCTTCACATAATGATGCTGCAGAGAGAGACAAAGTTGCTAGGGAGCGTGAACGAGAGAAAGCAAAGAGACAGAGAGAAGCTGTGAGTGTTATAGCTTGTGCAACTATAAATAAAATATATATTTTTTAATAATTAATTAATATTCATTGGATTAATTTTGCTACAAATAATGAATAGTCAATTCAAATTTTGTAATATCACAATATTTTACTACAAAAAAAATAGAGTATGTATTATGGTATTCATTTTTTTATACAAACATAAAAATACGATCAAAGTATAACATATAACTAAATTTTAACTGAAAAATAGTTGAATCCTGGAGGAAAATATTAAATTTCACTTTATATTTTCAGTTGGCTAATCAAATTGATATGAATATGCAGAGTGATTTAATGGCAGCCTTTGAAGAATCTTTATAATGTGTTACTATAAAATAGTTTTGAAGACTTACATTAAAAAGTAGTGCAAATATGGATGTATCCAGTGAAGTGGTATATATATATATACAAAAAACATTGAGTTATAATTTTAGCTTATTTATACTGGCTGAGAATGGCAGTAAGAGGTAAATGAACCTGATGTAAATGTGAACCTGAACAATAATAAAGTTAATATACTTCTTTTATACGTATTTACAATAATGACATGTGCACACGCCCTTTCTATGTGAGTACCGAAAATAATTCTGTTATTACTTATTGAATAGAAAAATTATGTAAAAAATGTATGTTAACTCAAAAAAAATATTCATTAGAAAATAAGTTTTGAAAAGTTTGGTATTGTGCAGGAATATACTTTATGCAACATAAATTTATTCATGCACTTTTATTAACTTATTGTTAAAGTTTTAGAACATACTATAGTGATTGTATTATAGATATTTGTATATAATTTAAATATTATTTAATCTAATTGTTATAAAAATGTTGGGGTATCAAGTACCATTGCTTGAATTAATGGAGGGCAATTAGTTTTTTTTTAATACAATTAATTTTTCAAAACTGAAATTAGTCCAATGTACAATATTTTGTATATAAAAATATTTATAAGTATAACTTTATTATATAGAAAATAGTTACTTTATGTAAATTATTTAAATAAAATAAAATGAAAAGTAAGGTTAAAGATAAGTTTGTTATTAATTTTTTAAGACAATCATGAATAATTAATTGTGTAAAAATTTCATTTAAAATACAGTTTTGCTCAAGCAATTTTGTTATTATATACGAAGCTTAGATTTCATGTATTTGTATTGTCTCAGTAGTAAAGCAAGTACTGTATAGGTAAGCGACATTGATCCTTGTAAAATGCAGTAAAATATTAGTAGATTCAGATCGACTAAATTTCATACAATCGATTTCTTCGGATATGACAAGTGTTCTGCATATACACCTCAATGCTATTATGGCATTGTGGATTGCACATAAAATACTCTTCAAAGAATAAACAAATGATTGATAGTAAATTGCGTTTATGTAAATTGAGTTTTTTCATAATAATATTTATTAGTTAAGCTTTTCAGATTTTTATATTTTTTTATTTATCTTTTTTGTTATTCATTAAATTAAATTTTCAGTATCTCACAAATAATAGTAAAATCTTATTTAAAATATTTTGTATTGCTAGAAAATGCTCTTAATAGTTTCATATCTTATTTGAATTTATTAAGAAGTGTTATTTATAGTTTTTGGGTAAAAAATCAACTTTCTACATTAGATATATGTAAATATATATAAATTGATTTGTATAAAATTATATAAAATATATCACTAATATTCATTGTAAGCTTACAAGTTTATATTATGCCAATTTAAGTTATATTCAGTCAAATTAATGAATAAAATCTTACTATTAATGTTCTTACAATGAGTTGTAAGATTATATATAAGCAGTGTAGAAAGTATAAATATATATATATATAATATATGAAGAGAAATTATTAAATAACCTTTGTAATTATTAAGGCTGTATTGTATTAATAATAAATTGTACTTATGTAACTCGATTAGTAACAAAATGTCTCTTTTATTAAAATATTTTTGCAGTAGTAATTGTAACTATGAAACTGCATTTAAACATCAATAAATTCTTTTGAATATTATATTTGCTCGTAATAAATTATATATGATTGATGCTATAATGAGTAAATTATTTTTATAAATTCTCTAACCTTTTTTGTTTTTCTCCAATTAATCACGACCAAAATGAACTTCACTGGCAGATTTGCAATTTTTTTTCCATTAGAAAATACACCAAAATAATTAATATATTTAATAACTTTATATAAATATATTATACATAATTTCATAAAAAAGCAGAATGATTTGTATTATGTTTATGTATTATTTATTTATATTCATTATATTAATTCAGATGTATTATACTGATTAAACTGTAATAAATTCAAATTCTTGACTTGTTATTGGTCAAAGGTGACGACCAATTAGATCGTCACGAGAGATGCTGCTACCTAGTGTCAGAAGAAGAAACATTGCGTTCGGTATCACTATTTTCTAATGATTATATTTCATAAATTTAATATTTTGTTCGCATAACGTTTTAAACGTTTGACGATATAATAATGTTTTAAACAATGCTTATAACTACATGCATTATTGTAATAAATCTTATAAGATCAGCAATAATAATTCGTGAAATATATATATGATATGCCAGAATAAGTCGTAACTGATATATTTAAATAATTGGAATAAACTAATTGGAAAGTAAAATTACTGCATCGGAGTATCCTGTAATTTAATAATTTCATGATCGCCTTAAGGTTTAGACCTTATATACGACTAAGGTTTAGTCAATAACACAGTTTAAATGGGTGAAATAAAAGTGTCAAAAATATCATACGAATCGAAATACATGTGACAGTTCAATGGTTTTAATGAATTTGAGTGAAATGATTTAATACGCTATTTCTAAATGCAAGAAAACATTACCATGAAGATATATCTGCAGAGCTAACTACTTAAAAAAATAATGGATCAACCGCCACCAAATTTCTTTGCCTGTCCTCCTCCGGTTTTGCCAGATTTTACTAAACCACCACCCAATTTGGCTGTAGTTGCAAACAATGGTGTTCCGTACCATGTTATTGTGCCACCTCCAACCGCTCAGCCAGACTATTATCAGTCTTATTATAATCAGCCGTCTTTACCTTATTATCCAACACCGGCTAACAACTATCCAAATATTTCACCTAATGTTTATAATATTAATCAGTTTACGCAGTATAATGATTCTTATACAAATTATTCTGAAGTTAAGCAAGAAGAATCAAAAATTAATGTTAATTGTAATGCTTATGATAAAACAGATACTAAATATTATGATTTGATATCTGATTGTGATAGAGATATAAATGATTCACTTAATAATTATACTAATGAAAGATTAGCCGATAATAAATATTCTCTAAATACTTCATCATATAATAATGACAGAACGGATAGTAAAAAGAATATACTTGAACAAAAAAGACCAAGAAGAAGAAGTCGAGATCGTTGGCATAAAAGTGATGATAAGAAGGTAAACATTAATTTGTCTATTCAAACATAATGTAATTATTATTAAGCAACTTTTCTGAAGACAATCTTATATTTTAGTGGTCAGAAAGGGATATGTTGTTGATGAAATACAGAAAAAACTTTTGTGCAACATCAGAGGAAATATCACAAAAACTACAAGAATTAAATAATCAAGAAGATAATATTACAGAAGTAAGATTAGTTTTCTAAAATTAGCAGATTCTTATTTCTTGCATAATTCAAAACTTATTAAATTTTATTTATATAATATAATATAATACAAAACTTATGAAATCATGAAACAAAACTTTTACATCACTTTTCATATTTTGATTGTAACCATAATATATTGAAAAGGTTTGGACAAGATCATCACCTGCTGATTTATATTATACTCGCATTGATGATGGAACAATGGTTCAAACTCCAAAACTTGCTCAATTGTGTGATGATTTTTATAAAATATTAATCGCACGTGCAAAAGAAGCAAGGGTATCTCAAAAACCTTATGAAGTACCTCCTCGCAAGCACAAGACAAAAATGTGTAAACATAAAAGTGAGTTTATTTTGAGTTTGCATATTTATCTTTACTTACATAAAAACATTTTGAATTGTCTATTCCATTTCTTGTAGGTGAACATTGTGATTCTAGTAGTGATAGTTCAATGAGTGGCATGGAATCAGACGAAGAAGACTGCGCAATGGAGGAGTTATCACGTAAATTGAAACATCCTCAAAGACTACATAGAGAAATGTGGTAAGTTTTTTGACATATATTCGATGCAAATTTTAACTGATGAAAGGATTAAATGCTAATTGATATGCTTTTTGGTGCAATGCTTTATCTTATGTTTTATTTTAATTAATTTTGTAAGTATGTATTAGTCAGGTTTGCTCTGCTACAGAATCACTTTAAATTTTTATTGTAATATTAATACGTTTTTCTAATAGATATTACATTATAATAAGTATAATGAACATGCCCATATCAGCATTTTTTTTAATTTCAAGGTTCAATGATCCAGGGGAAATGAATGATGGTCCACTGTGCAGATGTTCAGCAAGATCAAAGCGATCTGGCATTCGCCATGGAGTATATCCTGGAGAAGTTGGTGAATTTAAATGCAAACCAGAATCTAATAATATAAAGAACTTATACCATTATAGGTAATAATAGTAATTTTGGAATTAATTATTTAATACTCTTTAATTTTAAAACAAATTTTATGAATTCATAATTTATTTTACATCCCTCATATTTATATAGTGTAATGTACATATCAATTTACTAAATATTTTTAATATATAAATATTTATTTTTTTACAGAATTACAATATCACCACCGACCAATTTTTTAACAAAAACACCCACTATAATCAAACACGATGAGCATGAATTTATTTTTGAAGGATTTTCAATGTTCAGCCACACTCCATTAGGTAGTTTACCTACATGCAAGGTAAAGATAATATTTACGCAAATATAATTTTAATTTCATTTAATGAGTTAATGTTTAAAATTAACTGCAGGTAATACGTTTCAATATAGAATATACAATACTATATATAGAAGAAAAACATCCGGAGCATTACACAATGAAAGAATTAAATCTGTTCTGTAAGTAAATAAAAAATTTAATTAACAACTTTGTATACACCAGATTGTTCAAGAGTTTTATAATTAATTTATTTCTGTAATTATTTGAGGGGTTGAATGATAATTCCTTGAATTTTATGATAATCCTTTGAAAACCATATAAAATGTAATATTTTATTTGCAGTCGACTATTTATTTCATGAAATCCTGGAACTTGTCGATTTTGACTTAAAACCTCAAAACAATAGCGATGATTGCTGTCCAATTTTTCATTTTATGCCAAGATTTGTTAGAGATCTTCCAGGTATATATCATAATTTAAAATATAGTTAATCATAAGATATTTAATCCAATTAATGAATACCAGATAATGGTAAAGAAGTTTTGTCAATGAATGAAGTATTAAGATATCTAATAGCAAGCAGTGAAGAACTAGTCAACATAAATGTAGTTAATGAAATGCATAAATTGACACAATATGAATGGCAAGATTATGCAGACCAAGTTAAAGGTATTTTAAATGAAATATAAAAATTATTTTATTTTTTCTATTTTCTTCTTTTTTCAATTGTATCATTTTTCAGGAATGGTTGTTACATACCCTGGATGTAAACCTTGCTCTGTTCGAGTTGACCAATTAGATCGTAACGTAGAATTAAAAAATGAAAATAATTGCATTGATGATTTGAAAAATAAATATCCAGAAATAGTTCATTTTGGTATAAGACCACCACAGTTAAGCTATGCTGGTAACCCTGAGTAAGTATTTAATGTTGCATTTATGATAATCTTTATGGCAGATTTAACTTGGTTAAAAAAATTGCTCAAAATCATTAGTTGCTCTTGGGCAGAGCTTGCATTGTTTTGTGTACGTCACTTTTAATACCAAATATGTAAGTAATAAATAAGTATATGCAAGAGCCAGAGCACAAATTGTTTGGTGTTCTTGAAAGTGATTTGGAACTCATGATCAATTTCTATTTTGATGTATTTGTATATACATGAATATACAACTGCTGCATGTAGAATGTCATCAACTACTACAGCTGATTATTTTATTGTTTTGTTTTGCATATTTTAAACCTATTTCTAATTGATATATAGATATCAGAAAGCATGGCGAGAATATGTGAAATACAGACATCTAATTGCAAATATGCCAAAACCATCATTTGAAGATAAACGTAAATTGGAAAGTAAAGAAGCTCGCTTACAAGATATGAGGTCTCAAGGTAAACTTAAGCGAGATGTAACAGTTGCTTTAAGTTCCAAAGGGTTTTTTCGAACTGGAATTATGTGTGATATTGTACAGGTAATAAAATCCATTTATTAAATAATAAATTGTGTTTTAATTATAGCATAGTCTTGAACAGGCCCTTTGATTTAATTAAATATTAATTATCTAATTATGTATGCATTTTGACATTTATAATTACAATTAAATTTGTAAATTTGAGCATATTTAACATATAATATTTTCCACATGTGTAACATTGTGGATTCTCTTGTTATAGAACATTATCATTAATCGTATATTATACTATTTTCTGTTTTCTAGCATGCCATGCTAATTCCCGTACTAGCGTGCCATTTGAGATTTCATAGATCTCTATATCAACTTGAAGAAAGCATTGATTATAAATTTAAAAATAGATATTTGCTTCAACTTGCCTTGACACATCCAAGTTATCGTGAAAATTTTGGTACAAATCCTGATCATGCTAGGAATAGTTTGACGAATTGTGGAATAAGACAACCTGAATATGGGGATAGAAAAATTCATTACTTAAATACAAGGAAAAGAGGTATAATTTACTAATGAAAAAGAATATTATCATATTAATACAAATATTAAAGAAAACAAAATTTTAAATTATCATTTATTCTTTATTTCGGGAATATGGGATCTTCTTCAGAAATTATTAAAAACAAACAATTTGTTTATATTCATTCCTATACTTTTTTAATCGTTTTAAAATTGAAAGAATTCACATATGAAACTAATATTTATCCGGAATTGACACTTATTAAAATTCAACTTCTAATAAATTTCAGTGAATTTTAGTTGTGCTCACAAATAAATGTAAACATTTATATCTTGACGTATTTTCAAATATAATCTTTAAGGGGCATTATAATTCAGAAACTTTCAACTAATTCAGAAAATTTTTAGATTCATAGCTAAAAATTTAATGTGAATTATAATTTTTACTACATTATTATTAATGGATCCATATTCTTTGAATCAATGCTTTTTTCCAGGCATTAACACTCTAATAAACATCATGTCTAGATTTGGAAAACAAAGGGAAACAGAATCAAATATCAATCACAATGAACGTTTGGAATTCTTAGGAGATGCTGTAGTAGAGTTTTTAACTTCAATTCACCTATTTCACATGTTTCCGGACTTGGAAGAAGGTGGTTTAGCTACATATCGAGCTGCTATTGTTCAAAACCAACATCTTGCTGTTCTTGCTAAAGTAGGTTTAAACTTTTATATGAAAATTAAGTTGATATCAAATGAGCCAATAAAAAAACTAAAAAATAAATATATTTTATACTCATTTTAATGAATTATAATATTGTTTATTTTTACAATATAAAATAATTTTAGTAAAATGTGTTAAAATAAATCAATTAGAGTTTTTTCATAATAATTCTTCTAATCCATTTGAAATCTTCAATAATACTTTCTAATAATAAAATTTGAGTTCACTTTCTTTAAAGTGACACAAATTTATCACCTTAAGAATTAAATATTTATATGATACATGGCTATTCAGATCTTGGTGGCTTTTTTTGGCATTGTAATTATTTTATTTTTTGGATTCTATTTACAGAAATTAAAACTTGAGCATTTCATGCTATATGCTCATGGTTCCGACCTTTGCCATGAATTAGAACTACGCCATGCGATGGCAAATTGCTTTGAAGCTCTTATGGGCGCCTTGTTTCTTGATGGCGGTATACAGGTAATATAAACTAATACTATATTAATTGAAATTGTTTATATGAATTAATTAATAATTTTTAGGTGGCTGATAAAGTTTTTGGAAATGCTTTATTTATGAATGAACACAGATTATTAAAAACATGGATGAATTACCCTGCACATCCATTACAATTGCAAGAACCCAATGGGGACAGACAGTGGATCCCAAGTTATGAATTGCTTCAGAAATTGACTAAATTTGAAGAATTAATTGGTTTGTACACACTTTGTAAGATAATTAATTGGGCGATGCTAAATCGTTTTGTTTGTGATTTTGAATGTTTTTGTCATTATTTTTAGCTAAATTGCACGCTCTTGTCTATACCATCTATCTAATTCGGATGCTGCGCAATTGTCAATTTAAATATATATTATTTTCGGTCATTTTTGAGTTGACATAGATTTGTTTATTTTATTTACTTATTTATTCATAAGCAAGCAATAATCAATAATAACAATAAATAATATTTCAGGCTCTTGTCAGGCTTATTCTAAATTAATAATTAAATTAGAGTAATTTTGAATATTCATAAAGCTGCACAATGTGCGTTTCTGAAATGAAAAGAGCTGGAAAAAAGCATTCGAACATTAAATAAAATGTTTGTTATTAAGTTCATCATAATAAAGTCTAACAATTGCAGTCAAGCTCAAAATTGGAATAATAGATTAATTAGAATTAGAACATTTTTCAGTTTACGGCTTAAATATAGCAATTCAAAAAATATAGCCAGCAAATTTTTTTTAATTACCGTTTGTCAAATATTTACATGTATTTTATTTTTTTACACACGTTACTTTACTATTTTACTATTACTATTTTTTTACACATATTTTTTATTTGTTTAGGTGTAAAATTCAGACACATACGATTACTGGCACGTGCATTTACTGATCGGAGTATTGGTTTCACAAACTTAACACTAGGTTCCAATCAGCGCCTAGAGTTTTTAGGGGATACTGTCTTGCAATTAATTTCTTCTGAATATCTATATCGGCATTTTCCTGAACATCACGAAGGGCACTTATCTGTAAATATAAAATAAAAAAAAGCTTTGATAATAGTACCAGGATATAAATAATTTATTTTATAGCTTTTACGAAGTTCTTTGGTCAATAATCGCACACAAGCTGTGGTTTGTGATGATTTAGGAATGACCCAATATGCTGTGTATAGTAATCCTAAGGCAGAATTGAAAACTAAAGATCGAGCTGATTTGCTTGAAGCTTTACTGGGTGCTATATATATCGATAAAGGCATGAAGCATTGTCAAGTATTTTGTCAAGTGGGTGTAAACTAATTTATATAGTTTATTTTTCAATATAGTATGATTTCATTTTTATATTTCGATTTAAAAGGTTTGTCTATTTCCACGCCTACAAGATTTTATCATGAATCAAGATTGGAATGATCCAAAAAGTAAGCTGCAACAATGCTGTTTGACACTAAGAACAATGGATGGCGGGGAGCCAGATATACCAGTTTATAAGTAAAATAATTAAATTTACTTAATAATATATATTATCATAATTAATATTATATATATATATATATATATATATATATTTAATATATACTTATATATTATATAAGTATATGTATAACATCAAAATTTTTACAAAGCTCATTTAATGATAATCATTTATATATGTACTCGATCTTTTAAACAGGGTGATAGAATGCATTGGCCCCACAAATACCAGAGTATATACCGTTGCAGTTTATTTTCGAGGTGAGCGGTTAGCTACGGCTACTGGTCACAGTATTCAACAAGCGGAAATGAATTGCGCAAAACAAGCTCTGGAAAATTCTCAAGGTATGGCTGTGATTTAATAACATACCATAAATATTAAAAATCTATGAACAAAATATATATATGAAGATGTAAATATTAAATTATTAATCCTGAATTTCTATATTTAGTTCAAGCTATATCTTTTATTTTTTCTTTTGGTTGTGTTTCATACTAACAATAAGTCAATGACAATTATAACAAAAGAATATATTAGGCATCATATCACATTAGTAATTAGAAACATATTTTGCAGATCTATTTCCACAGCTTGATCATCAAAAGAGAGTAATAGCTAAGAGTATGAAAAATCAAAAATGGTCATTCGATAGAAATAAAAATAGCAACAATAAATTTAACTCAAATGATAAATATGCTGAGCAAAAATTATCTAGAAGAAATGATTATGAAAGGCAATCAATTGAAGCTAATAAGAAAAAAATTGACATACTTAAAAAAGATAAAAATTTACCGAAACAATATAGAAAAGCTGATGAAGAGAGTGATGGAGAATATTATGACAAAAATAAGCATGAGAGTAGTCGTAGTAGAATTTCTTCATCTGATCGGTTTAGAAATAGTCACAGGAGTAAATACAATGAATATAAACAAGAAAAATATACTAATCATCATTTTAATAAAAAATCGAGACATGATTATGATTCAGATTACTCTGATACTAATATGAGTATTACATCGAAAGGAAGGTGTAGTTCAAGTTATCGAGAATATAGCTACAATAAAGATTATGATGCAAATAATGATTGTTTTGAGAATACTGGAAACATAAATGATAAGACTGCTAATTATAAAAATGATGTGCATATTTATAAAAATGAGAAGAATAAAGATAGTGACTCGGATTTAGAATCTGGAGAAATAGAATAGCAAAATTTAACAATCGATTTTATTTTGTAACTAGTCTATTTTATTTATTTAAAACATGATACAGAAAAAAGTGTCTTAAACAGGTTTGAAACTGACTCGAATAGACTCTCTCAAATTGTGTAAGCAAATTGAATGGACTTATGAAGCAAGAAAATAAAAATTGGATTTGTTTCATCTTCGATATATTTTTTATTTGTTTTACTTCAATGACTTTTAATCTCGATGTCATTTCAGTGTTAAATTATTCAATTTATTATATGAATTTATTGGAGAATAATGCAATAATAAATAATTCATAAATGAAAACAATATGGCGAATTTTACTCCTATAATTACTAGATTTTAAAAACTTAAAATGGGCTACATCTTGTGTAATATATTGAATGCACTATTTATATATAATTACACAATATTTAATAAACTTTGTTTTTACTTAATATTAAATTTTATAGATTATTTCTTAACACTCTTTTCTCTTTTATTCAATATATATAATTATATTGATTACAAAACTATGTTCATAAATGTTACTTTTGTTGATGACATTTGCAGCAGGAATACTATTTAAAAAGCATTAAAAACATGCAGTAAAATGTTTTTACTAATTTATTATTTTAAAAACAATTGAACAAATTTGAATATCAAAAATTTAATTTTGGAATAATTACCTTTTAAATAATAAATGGAAGCAATGCAGATAGATAGATCTATAGATTTAAATTTATTACATAACAAATCAAGTTTTTTAAAGCAATATAAAAGGAATAATGTGTGCCGTTTTGAACAAAATGATAATGCTATTGTAATTGAAAACGCGAAGGATTGGGAAGTGAAATATTTGCCGGAAGATTGGGGTACGAATTTTGAAATCCTTCATGCATGTATTTCATTATTTTATTTATACATGTATGCTATTTAATCAATTAATAATTATCATTCTATTAGTTCCAGTAAGTGGCTCATCAAAAGTTATAAACAACTTGATTGAAAGGCGTCGGACTGATCATGAGAAAGCTATTGAGGAAATGAATCAGGAAATGCTTCTACTTTCTGAAAATATCTCTTGTGAGATACGATCTGCTTGCGACACTTTTAGAATCATTTTAACCGCATGCCAGAAAGCCGTTCAGGCCGAAGTTTATCGGCTGAAGTTTTTAAATCAGCAAGAATTTACAGATCAATGTTACAGGTATAATAATTTTATACTTTGAAATTCTTCTAATTGAAAGACACTTAATAGGGAATTTAAATGTCCCAATCATTAAGACAATTTATTCAAAAACAACAACAACAAGCTTGAAAATGATGTCTGCAATCACTGTTATAACATAATGGTAACATTTTTTATATAACTTTGTAACTCCCGATATACATTGCGCATATATTACACTTAAGTAACATTTGTTATATAACTTAAAGCCAAAGTTACATTGCGCTTATATTACATTTAGTTATATAACTTTGTAACTCACAAGTTTAATTACGGTAACATGTAGTGTTTACTGGGTGATTGCAATAGTTTCAAGAAGATAATTTTAAAAACGTAAATTGTACAAAAGCAAAATGCGCACCTGAGTCATAAATATTTATTTCGAGTTTTAATGAGAATATTAAAGGATAAAAAAATTTAGAAGATAAAAATCTTGATTCCATTAGCAGAGATTCAATTTAAATAATTCAATTAAAATTTTTTAATGAATTATTTAAATGATAAAATAGATAGATAATTGTTGATCTGATTGAAACAGATTTGAAGTCCTTTTTCAAACAACTTTGTATTTTAACAGAAACATAAAAGTTTTTGTTATGCTTTCGGAAATGAGCTCCAAGAAAGTTGTATGCATATCGATAAAATTGAATTTTACCGCTTATGATGATTTTTTTTTAAATATCATAATAACATTTCTATTTCTCATTAAAGTTCTTGGGAAAAAACAATTGTTACTTTGCGTAATGCTAATACGACTTTAAATGAATTTTACGTTACGCTGGATGATTTTGAACGTAAACGATCCGATAAGCTGAAAGCCATTTTAAGCTTATATTCAAAAAAAGTTTGTGATATTGCCCACGTAACGCCGTTTAAAGTTCAAGAACAATTTGAAATGATGATACTGGTAATATTAATAAATGATATTATTTCATATATTTCTTGTTAATAGTTTGTGATGGTTGCTTTAATTTATATCATAGAAAATAAATCAGAGCCTCTTATCGAATGCAAGCTGCCATAATGATTTGTATAATCAGTTGCATTATGTAATATTTTTACTCGGCTGTGAATATCAGAAACAGGTAGCTCGTATTAAAAGGGAATGGGACTATCAAGACAAATTGAAAGCACAACGAAGGCTGTAAGTATTTTAATTTATAAAAGACTTATATAATAAGTATACAAAATATTCTCAATTTTATTTATTTTATTCAGGTTTATCTGTTCAGATGAAGGAGAAGGAGAAGAGGATCTTAACAAGGATTGGAATTCAATTATGAATGATTTAGGTAATTTTATAAGCTTTATATCATTTTTATGTATATTCAACATAATAATTGTTTGCGAAACTTGAACTATTATAACTTTCTTTAAGGGGGTCTTCCTATGTGATGAGTTGAAAAAATTGAATTTTTTTTTATTTCATATTTCAGTAGATTATACCTTTAAAAATAACATATTAAAATTTCAAATCGATATCTCAAATAGTTTTTGAGTTACAGCCATTTAAAAAGTATACATATAGTATATAGTACAACGATCATTTTATCTTTAAACGCGTTTTTCTCAAAACTGTGTTTTTCAAACTTGTCTCCATTGTATCTCAGAAACGGCTGGACCGAATTACTTGAAATTTACAGGGCACATTCAATATATTTAAACGCATGGAATGAACTATTATCAATCAAAAATTTCAAAACTTCGATTTTTTATAGCAAAAAAACTAAAAAAAAACGCCCAATTTGCAACTTTTATTTCAAATGTCTATAAAACATCCAATTTTTTTTGTATTCATTTGATTGTAGATCATTCCGTGCTTTTAAGCCTACAAATTAAAACGCCGTTTATTTTTTTTTTTGGTCAGATAAGCCGATCAGCCGGAATCGTGGAGACAGTGGGAGCTCTTTTTTTTGAGGGGGGGGTGTTTAGAGCGCTGTAACTCTAGTTGGACTAAATTTTTTTTAGCTGAAATTTTATATTTATACTGTCGAAATATGTATTGATAAATGATAAAAAACTTGAAGCTCTAACTATTTACTGGTCGTAGAAAAAAAAATTCTAAAATATCCCTAAAAAACAGGCCGTCACATAGGAAGACCCCCTTAATTACAAGTGTTAAAAGTTAAGTTATTCTAAAGTGTTTAAATTTATCAAGGTCCTAAAGTACCCAAAAAGTGTATCAAGTACTGAAAGAGTTTATTGCGGTAAAGTCCTATAGTACCTAAAAACAGTAAATTTGTCAAGGTCTTACAGTACCTAAAAAGTGTTTAATTTTATCGACGTCCTAAAGTATCTAAAAAGTTCCTATAAATTATCTAATAAAAGTCGACTTATTGATATACGAATATATTATTTAATAATTATTATTTTTGCAGAAATCTATGTTCTGAGCATGGTTGATGTGTTAAAAAATTCAATTGCGCAAATTTTTAAAATGCATCAATTAGGCAAAATTCCGATGCTAAAAGTTTTAAATCTGAAACCTGAATATTGTTACAGAAGCTCTCTATCGGATGCAAGTTTTATCGCCAGTTTTAGTGAAGTAATCCTATGCACATTATAATTGTTATATTTTATAAATGAACTTTTACTTAGAAACTCACTTCTAGTAAATACTGATGATATTATACAACTGCTTTATAATCTGTAACAATTTATAACTCGAATCTTAACTTATTATAATAGAATTTTGTAGTAATTTTGTAAGTATACTTACAAATCCACCACAATCATAATTATTTAAGCTTAAGTATGATTGTGGTTTACCAAAATATAAAACGTTTAGTTGAAAATAATTTTTCAAAATGAGTATTTATTAAAATTTATGCAAACCGATATTAATCCAGGTCAATATAACAAATATAAGTACATGCTTAAATGCAGTAAAAGAATTTTTAGAGGATGTATTTGCATTATGGAAACTTTACGCCGAGAGAAGTACCACAATGAAAAATGATACAGAAAAGGCGTTAGAAAAAAAAACCACAGCATTTAGTAAACTGTTTCAGGTAAACACTTGAATAATAAATTAACAGTTAGCTTAAATTTTAGATAATTGTTTACCATTATATACTAATTAATGCAAAAACAATTTTTCCCATTTTAGGCAAGGTGTACAAAATTATTGCCATTATTGTCTGTAATTAGACAAGAGAGTATACCGAAGAAGCTTACAAGATCTTACAAAAAAGCCCGGAAAGTCATTGCAAATGTAGATAAATTGTATGTGAAATATTAATAATATAAAATTTTCATAAGTTGATGAAAAGGTTATATAAAATCTGTTCAAAGGTGTGTGCAGGAACTAAATCGGCAGACGTCGTTAATCGAATATTATGATAACTTCATCGACAATGAAGTTGAAAAGTTAATTGATGAATTAAAAATTTTATTAATAAATCATGAAAGCGTGAGTATACCTAAACTTATATTAATATAGTTAGAGCATTTCTAAAACTTTCCTGCTTTTTTACAGTTTAATAAGGAGCCAAAATTTGATGAAGATTTTCCAACAGAATATAAAGCTTTTCAATACAAAGTTATTTGCATGATCCATTGGAAACAAGGGTATGTGAAATAAATTTATGTTTACTGTTTTCTTTGAAATATGTTAATAATATTGATAATATTAATTGAATTAATAATATTATCAATAAATTCAAATTCAATATTATTTTATTATTATTTTTTGCTTTTTAGGTTGTTTTCAGCAATCAAGAAATTTACGTCATTAGATAAAGCTACTCTTACAAAATGGGCGAAAGAATTTTCAATTCCACTTTTAGATGAGATTAATACACAGTCGAATAACTATAGATCTTATTTGAGAGTATTGAAATTAGATTTGGAATCTGATTTTGAGATTCGTAAATTCGAATTAAAGTTGCATGCAGCTCGTTTGAAAGAGCACAATAAAGTAAATAATTCTAAA